AGGATTTCGTGCCAATTGTCTATGCAGTGGCTTACGACGATGAGGAATTATGGCTGAAGTGGGTATGCCCCAAAGTTAATAGGGGAACAAGAACAAGCTTTTGTGATGGGTCGGAGCATTGGATGGCCCACTCGTTACGCTATTCGCATTGTGCGACGACTGGTGTTTCTTTCGCTGTTGTAAAACGCTTTGTAAGTCGTATTAACGCGATTGCTTTCCCGTCATCAAACCAGCGTAAGGCAAGTTTGACAAGAAGTCACAAGCACTGGTGTAGCTCTGCGGTAGAATACTGGGCTGGCACCCAGCGGACCCGGTTCGAGCCACACTGTGCCATTGGTGCTAGGTCATGCCTGCCTATGGCAAGTTTGACAAGCTATAAGCACCGGCGTAACTCAGTGGTAGAGTATTGGGCTGGCACGCAGCGTACCCTGGTTCAGGCGCCACTGTATCATTGGTGCAAGTTTTTTTCTTCTAATTTCTCGTGATGTGGTTACGGACACCAGCGGCGGACAACAACTGCGCGTGACCTGAAAAGTGATCTCATAACAGCTTTCGCTGTATTGGATGACGCCTTAGTTTCACCTTCAATGGAAGACCATGATAGCGTAATCGGACCTCACGCGCATCACTTTCTGAACTGCCAGCCTGCTTCGCTTCTCGGTGCATGCGTTGACCGTGCGATAATGAAGCGAACGACGTCACGCGTAACATTGGTCGTTTCGAAGTGTCATTTAAAGACTACTGCATGTACAGTTGCTGACTCCCCACTACGCCGTAATTATTTTCCTTTTGAGAATCAGCGAAGGGCTACCCTTTCCTACACGATCTCGCACCACTTGTTGCGGTTGCTAGGGGCGAGGATAAGCGTGCTCGCCCGCAGCTGTTGCTGTGGTGGAGGGAGTGAGAGCGGAGAGATAACACATGCCAGTGCGCGGACACCGCCGGATGCCTGACATATCCCGACTAAGAAATGCCTCCAGAATCTAACGTCTGTACGCGCAAATCTACTAAATTTACCCAAGGGCGTCGATCTCGTTCGAAACGCCAGGCTCGACGCGAAAAAAATGTGGTATAGGCTGCTATACTCACCAACTGCTTCGCCTGAGGTCGATTCCCGCAATGCATGATAATGATGATGATTCCCGGAAGAATGGCACAACCCATTACGAGGGATCGGGATCTGCCAGAATTCTTTACCGTTGGAGATGCGGCGGAAAGATTCCAAATCAATGCATGAATATAGTGTACCTGAAGTATACGCTGAGATTGCTGTTTGTATTCTTTTGCAAGTCCTTTTCAGCATGAAGCATCCCGGGCGCGTTGCATCCTCTGTCACAGAGAACGGCGGTGCGGTGGTTGGGCATTGCATAATTTTTTTAATAATGGGACGCAGAAGAAGAAAAAAAAATCTGTCGTCGCTTAGATTTAAGTTTTGTGTGTTCATCGCTCACTTGTTTGTCGTGAAGTGCGTGTGATTGTGCAACTAACAGCGATCATTTGCCTATATTATTCGGGATTGCTTGCCAAGTTATAATGTCAGGCTCTCAGACTCGAGTATTTATTAATTACACCAAATTTAAGAGAGATTTAGAATCTGCTTTGACAACTCGTTCTGAAGAGCAAGAAGATACGAAAGCCCACGAGACTAAGTGCACTGATCAAAAGAACATATAAAAAGGCAGAATTTGTTGTTGAATCCAAAAAGAGCACAACCCATTGTCCGCGGTGGAACTCGGACTGTGCCCGGGATTTCAGACGAAGAAAGGCAGCTTGGAAAAAACTTATGTATAACCAGTGCCCCCAAGCTGGTCTGATTACAAATATTACGCTGCACGTTTTAAACGCACAGTCTCTTTAGCTAAGGAACAATATAATAGAAAACATTATGATCACTTTTCAAAACCTAGTTACAAAAAGGCGCTGTTTAGGTTTATGAGATCACGTAAAATGGTGCCATCTCCAAATAATATAGAATTTGAGATTATGTCCTCGGAAGAAACAAAGAAATCGTTTGAAATCTTAGCTAAAGGTCTGGAGTGTAGATTTACATCAACTAAGCTTTACATTCTACAAAAACCAGCGTTAACGATGGAAGTTACTGAAATTACAGATGAAGAATTAGCGCAAGTGATACAAGATTTGCCCTCGTCAGCTCCTGGTCCGGATGGAATCACAGCTGCTATGATAAAAATAATATTCAAATTAACATAATGTGACCTACTACACATTGTAAATTCGTTAAAATATGCCAGGATTCCGTATGAGTGGAAATTAGCTAAATTAGTGCTGATACAAAAAAGACAGGGATTCGGATATGTCATAGAAAACATTCGACCCATTTCTCTTACAGCTAGTATGGTGAAGCTCATTGAGAAAGTGCTCCATAAAAGAATTATAATATAGATGGAGGAAAATTTCATACTAAACCCAAATCAAATTGGCTTCAGAACAGATTGTGGTGTGCACACGCAGATTCAGAAAGCTGCATTCAGCTTGCTCGCAAAAGAAGACAACATGTGGCACTAGTGACATTGGATATAGCTAAGGCATATGATAGTGTAGAACATTCAGTTTTATTAGACATATTAGAGAGTTATAATCTCCCAAAATATATAATGACGTGGGTGAGGGAATTTCTGAGGGGAAGAGAGTTTTATTGTTTTAAGGATGGTTGCGCATCGTCAAAGTGCAAACAAACTCGCGGTGTCCCCCAAGGCGCTGTATTATCGCCAGTTCTATTTAACGTATTAACGAGCACATTCCCTCATTGTCAGGGCGTGAAGGTGTTTGTATATGCCGATAATATTGCATTTCTCACGGCACATAGTGACATATATTCTTTATATCAAAATCTACAGAGATATGTGAATATGCTGGAGAGATGACTAGAAGCAATGTGCATGACCTTAACTGTAAATAAGAGTGCAGTAATGATAATCCCGTTATCAGATCCCATCTCAATTTCAATATGTTTTAAACAAGAGCCCATTCCGCAGGTGGAATCTCTTAAATATTTGGGAGTAATTTATAATGCCAACGTAAACTGGACTCCCCCCCATACAAAGCATGGCATTTAAAGCGCAACGCACCTTAGGAATTCTTCGTAGACTGATCATCTGTCGATATCGTCTACGCATAAGCACAAAGGTGATGATGTATAAAATGTATATGCGACCAATGCTAGAATTTTGGGTGCGTATTGTTCTCAGATGGCCCTGCTTACAAAATAAAGCCGCTGGTTATGCTTGAACGAGAAGCATTGAGATTGTGTCTAAGGCTTCCTAGGTTTGTAACAATGTTTTGTATCAGGAAGCACGATTACCTACATTGCCTTGTCGTTTTCGTATCCTAACAATTCACACATTTCTGAAATTTGATATCTATGCGCCAAGACGATCTGAATAAGCTTTTATAAATGACCCAGAAACCTTATTTCTTGCCCATTGGCCACGGTTTCAAACACTTCAGATTGATTTTGTCCAGAAACAAACAGATAGGATAAACGTAAAAATTCAAGATGTGATTGCGGCGCAGGTTACGAACCAGAATCTTAAGATAGAATTCGATGAGATTTTCCCCTCTAAGCCCGAATTACAATCCTATATGGTCCTAAATAGCCAACTGCAGCATTATCTTGCACACACAGAAACGAATAATAATATAGCCACAGATGCTTCAGTAATTGGTGAAAAGACAGGTGTATGTATATACTCCCATTCGCTTGACTGGTATTTTTCATCAAGATTACCAGATTCACCCCAGTTTTTGAAGCTGAACTGTTGGCGATAGTTCTAGCGCTGCGGAATCTACCTTTGAATGCCTATAACGCGGTCATCATCACGGATTACCTGTCAGTATGTACGTCGATTACGGCGTAAAGAAAATCGATCACCTTTAAGACGCTCCTTATGCTAGTTCCTCCTCAGCTGCAGCTACTGAAATTAGTATGGGTACCTGGTCATTGTGGCTTAGAAGTGAATGAAATCGCCGACTCTCTTGCACGAACAGCATTAGAAGGGCCAGTGCTATTAGTCCTTCCCGAAGTGGTCATTATAACTGCGCCAAGATACAGAAAACTCTTGCTTCGTGCATACGCTATGGAAGCAATAATGTCAACACCAGAATTTACTCACCTAAGATTTCCGTGGAGAACTCATTGGTGTTCTTCAAGACAGTTGGAAGCCATAATAACCAGATTTCGTTGTCGTGTCCCCTCGTTAAATTTCTAGGGCTGGTCTGGCGATATCACCGCTATGCAACTTTTGTTCAGAGTCAAAAACAATAGAGCTTTATTTTTTATTATGTTGCCAATACAAATTGCTCAGAAAAAGACTTTTAGTCATCCCATTCGCTAGCCTGGGGCTGAACTTTCCAATAGAAAATATACTTTCCTTCGTGCTTCCGATCTGGACTTCAGCCACGCGAACGTTTTCTATGCAGTTTGCAAGTATACCTTAATGAAAGTAAAATAATTAAGCTTTTCATTGCGTGATCATTATTCCTGCAAAAATATTTCAACATAAACATAAGCTTTGATTAACCACGCTCATTCCTATTCAAGGTAATGAATGATTGTCTGATCTGAACGAGTGACAAACAATTATTGCACTCCTTTAATTCTGCCTTGGGTGTCTTCTGATTTTCCTTTTTTTCCTCTGGTGGGTGGTTTCAATATAGAGTATAAAAAAATCTCACTGAATTAAGTCATCGATTCTTGGCCGATCCCCCTGAATGGGTACGAGCCATGGCTGTGGAATCATAATCATCATCATCATCATCATCGTTTCAACGGACAGCTGGCGAGCGCGCATCAACGTCGATAACGACCTCGAATCGGCGCTGCATGGTGGGCAGGACATTTCAAAGAAGCACGTATGACGCAACAGACACGTGCCAGAGGCGTGTACGAGGTGTTCGAGCTTCTGCTTTACGTACTTTTCTGAGTGGGCCAGGGCTCCATTCCACCTGCGACGTTTTTGATAGTCATCGTCCAAGTGTGCATGTATCTGCGGCTCTTCAGCCTGCCCTGGTTAAAGCCGGAGCAGGTCTGTATCAGTGTCACCGACGTGCTATTCATGGGAGAATGGCCAAGAATCTTCTACGGTGCGATCGAGCACGGGAACAGCTTGCACCTCTACTACAACGTGGTGAGCTTCATCTGGAAGGGCATAAATCTCGAAGAAAAGATGCACACTGTCCCTTTCTTCTGCGTCGTCTGCCTGCTTACCGCGCTCACTGGCGTCTTCAAAGTCGGCCTCAACTACTTTCTAGGTACCCATGTCGACGCCATATTTTACAAATGCTGCATAATCGGCTTCTCTGGCGCCATCTTCGCGATCAAGTTACTCGACAACGTCAAGTATCCCGCTCAAAGTCGTAATATATTCGGCATCACCGTAACCCTGCCGTCAGGGTATGCAGTGTAGCTCGAGCCTCTCCTGGTCCAGCTCGTGGCGGGCAATAACTTCTCCTTCATCGGTCTCTTAGCCGGGGTCCTGGCGGGATTTGTTTACCTCGGTGTGATTAGGCCGATCCTCCACGGAATGTGGCGAGTCCTGGTGGAGGCACCCATGAAAGCGGTGTACTACATACTTGGGGCGGTGCTGATAGCTTCCTCTTTCGATGCACCGTATCGTTTAAAAAAAAAAAAAGTGGCTACGGCTACGTTATATCGATATCTAGCTACAGGTATTTCGTGTATAATACTTGAACTCGCCGTTGAACCACTAATTTTTTCAGACATGTGCTTAGTTTTGCTAGCACAATGCTCAACGTTGCGACGCAACTTTGCGACTTATCAGATCAACCTTGTGTATTTGCAAGTTGCATTCGAAACCAGCAATACCGCACGGCGCCGGTGAAACCGAAGCGGCTGAAATTCTGAAGTGCCTTTCGTTTTAGTGTAACTGGGAAATATCATGCCATATGTTAAAAGCCACGCATAAAATCTCTTTGGCATGCTGAATGGTATTTAAGATGCTTCATGTTTAGTGCAGTTAGCAAGATGTGGCAGCGAGAGTGCACATTTCTTAGTCGAATGGGCTTTAGCGAAGGCATTAGATGACGAATGACATCAAGACGAATGCCATTTGGTTTGCACGTTTGGCAGCATGCAAATGCTGTAAATTCTTTAGACATTACAAAGGAAATGGCATTTTCTGTGTCCCCTGGGGCACAGGGGTGAAAGCTATCTATAGCACCCGCGAAAACGTGATTATCACCGACTCCTGCATTAGCGCGAGATCCGCTGACTCTTTACTGGGCCATTCAGAAATATCAATTGTTCTGTGTAGTACACCTTGGACAAAACTCACGATGGATGTGACTGGAACCATCATACACCAAACGGGAAGCCAGTTATGCAAAGTTGTCTGCAGCTAACGGTAAGTTGATGAAGGCATTGAAAGTGCGAAAATTGGGGTTAACCCCCCCCCCCCCCCCGTGGTGGTGTAATTGCTAAGGTACTCGGCTGCTGACCCGCAGGTCGCGGGATCGAATCCCTGCTGCGGCAGCTGCATTTCCGATGGAGGCTAAAATGCCGTAAGCTCATGCGCTGAGATTTGCGTGCTCGTTAAAGAACCCCAGGTGGTCGAAATTTCCGAAACCCTCCACTCTGGCGTCTCGCATAATCATATGGCGGTTTTGGGAGGTCATCAGAGACAGACTTTAGAGTCTTATACTCTTTGATGTTGCCTTTCCTCTGTCGCATTTCTTTTGTAATTTCTCTCTCTTCGCAACATTTCCTGTTAACATCTTTTATTCCCCTCACCCCTTTCCCCAGCACAGGCTAGCCAGCCGGTCTAAGAACTGGCTAACCTCTCTGTCTTTCCGCTTTAACTTTCTTCCTCCTTGGGACGTCAGAGCCCACATATCAATCAAGGTCGGGGTTAGGAGGTTTTGCATCTGTTCCTATACCATACGAATCTGTTGTTCGTAGCCTAAGATCCTAGCTGAGATAGGGTACACGAGCCAAGTGTCGCGGCGGCGCGCACAGCTCGGTCACTTGCTCCGGTGCCGTCTGTCAATCTTCCACGTATGGATGTTTCTCGGCCTCCCGTTGACCTCGTGCTGCGCATATTTGTATCACGTGATTACATAATCACGCACGCGCTCTCCCCAAAAAAACAATGTGCGACGGCTTAGACGTGCGCGTGCCCGGTCTCTGGGCGAGGGCGGTGTTTGCTATAAACGCATGCAACCTGGAAGCCGTGCGGCGATGCGATAATATGATACGGGTGTGGTGCGCTGCGACGCTGCGTGAATCTTGCGGAGGGTGAACACGAAGCACAACTAAAGTAAACTTATCAAGGCACCTGCTCGTACAGATTACGCGATCGGACTAGCGAGTGGAACGGAGATACGTGGGTAAGAGTAGGGGAGGGGGTGTTTCCTGGCCTCGGTGGCTGGTATTTGGACCATGGTCTCCTTCGGAACCCACCGAGAGGGTCTCATCTCGGTGCGACGCGTCGGCCGAGACAAGATCGAGACTGCGGTGACAAAAAGGAGGGGAAGGTCCTCTTCTCAAAGGCTATGAAAGGCGCTTCGCTCCGGGCCAGCTGCCAAGCCGTGCCCCTGTTTGTGTGGCTCGTTTGTGTATCGGGGGCTCGCTAAGGACACGGGAGACAACCTCGTTTTTCTGCTGCGCGATTGTTTGTGCGTGCGCAGGAGCTGTTGAACACGTGTCGCTGTCGGAGCTTTGGAGGAAGGCACGTCGATGTAAGCTACGCAGGAAAGGAGAAGCATCCGGGGTAGCCGGGTTAATAAATGCGAAGCATTTTTTTGGGGGAACTTCGGCGACTTTGAGCGTATCTATCTATCTATCTATCTATCTATCTATCTATCTATCTATCTATCTATCTATCTATCTATCTATCTATCTATCTATCTATCTATCTATCTATCTATCTATCTATCTATCTATCTATCTATCTATCTATCTATCTATCTATCTATCTATCTATCTATCTATCTATCTATCTATCTATCTATCTATCTATCTATCTATCTATCTATCTATCTATCTATCTATCTATCTATCTATCTATCTATCTATCTATCTATCTATCTATCTATCTATCTATCTATCTATCTATCTATCTATCTATCTGTCTGTCTGTCTGTCTGTCTGTCTGTCTGTCTGTCTGTCTGTCTGTCTGTCTGTCTGTCTGTCTGTCTGCCTGCCCCGCCGCGGTGGTCTAGTGGCTAAGGTACTCGGCTGCTGACCCGCAGGTCGCGGGTTCGATTCCCGGCTGCGGCGGCTGCATTTTCGATGGAGGCGGAAATGTTGTAGGCCCGTGTGCTCAGATTTGGGCGCACGTTAAAGAACCCCAGGTGGTCGAAATTTCTGGAGCCCTCCACTACGGCATCTCTCATAATCAAATGGTGGTTTTGAGACGTTAAACCCCACAAATCAATCAATCAATCAATCAATCAATCAATCAATCAATCAATCAACCAATCAATCAATCTATCTATTTATCTATCCGCTTACGACTTTTAGCTCTCCTGGCCGTTTGGATAATGGTATCGATACGAAACTTGGTATGACATAACATGACTGTATGACGAACATAATTGACTAGTCATAACAGGAAAATCTTGACATGGATGTCACGAACGTCATGATTTACATTTCATGATTTTGCTGCCCTTGCGGTGGTTTCTTTCACATGGCATGTTGCAAAACTGGTGTGGTATGAGATGACTGCATGGCGAACACAAGCGACAGAACCTAACGTGAAAATCATGACATGCGTGTCATGTAACAAAATGACTACATGCAACACTCACGATGTGCTCGCGGCCGTTTCGCAAGCTTTGCTTATACCAAATTTGGTATAACGGGACGTGAATGAATGACGAAGGTATACGTGACTGGTGCAAACGTGATAATCACGAGATGCGTGGCAGGTGAGAACAATAATAAACGCCACACTCAAGGCGCCGATACACTTCGACGTGACCCGGTGCGCGTGTGCGGCGGCGTTCATTTCATCGCGTCACGCCGGCAATGCCACGCCAGGCGGCAATATCCCCCCTAGAAGAGATCAGTGGATGTGCCCACTGACCTCCATTGTGGATCTGCCTGCCATGTATTTGCAGGCTTGCGCTGCATTGCTTTGACACATGCGCGTTTGAGCGCACAGAGTGTCCCTCCGTCACAAAGAGAGGCAGACCATACAGAAAGCTACTTACATTTCTCTATGGACAGACGCTGTGCTGACTAAATAACGTCGTCGGCGCGAAAGGCAGCATGTATAGCACTTCGCGCCCGGCCCGTTGCCCCCCAGGTCGCGCCAACGGATGCTGGTCGCGCCTTGCGTCAGACTATTGAGCGCTCGCGTTTCGCTAGCGTGGCGTCGCTGCGCCCAGCCTGCGCGTTCGGCAACGTTGCGTCGGATTATATTGGGCCCTTCATGACGCACTCGCCACCGTTTCGATAGCTTCGCTTGTACCAAATTTGATATTACCGGAAGTGAATAGACGACGAAGATAAATGAGACGTCCAAACCTGATAATCATGCTTATGCGTTTCATGTGAAATATGACTACACCCTACGCTCATATAGCGTTCTCGCAGCTGTTTCACTAGTTCCACATATACTAAATTTGGTATTACATGACGTGAATGGACGACGAATGGAAATGACATGTCCAAACATGATAGATATGATATAGATGTCATGTAAAACATGATTACATGCTACGCTCATAGCATGCTCGCGGCCGTTTCGCTAGCTTCATATATGCCAAAGTTGGTATCAAGTAACGTTAATAGATGACGAAGGTAAATAAAACGTCCAAACATGATAATCATGACATGTAAGTCATGTACGGCATAACTTACCTCCGTCTCGTAATGTTGTGCTGATTTAGAAGTGACCTATTAACCCTCCTCATTCGTGCTTCACATATTCTCGATTCCCACAGTACGTCTGCCAATTTTTTGTTGTTGCGTTGGAGTGATTCGCGGGTGCATTGGTGAGCAGCTCTTGTGGTATGCGAAAACTAAGATGAAATTCTAAGTGGAACGAGATATTCCGGTAATGCAGCACAGGTCAACGTAAATATCTTGGCCCATAATTGCGGGCACGCGTGTGCGAAAAAAAAAAAGGGGGGGGGGGGGCAGTAGCTCATCAAAGGTGCATCGCTCGAGGGAGTTGACCTGGCCCCCCGTTTTGACGAAAGACTCATTTTTGTCGCTCGTTTCCCATTTTCTTCCCCTGTTTTCACAGCATTCCCTCGCGCATGCAGTAAGTGCGTATCACCGGGAATGACAGGCAGACAACATACACCTCCACCAAGCTGTTTAGTTTTTTTTTCACTTGTATGCACGCGACTCCAGCACTTGACAGCAACAGCCTTCGCGGGCCACTCACAGATGGTCCGAATTTGTACCCGAACGAGTGTGTTTGCCTAACGATAA